TAGACGGGCTGCCGCGCGGAGTGAGCAGAGGCATGAAGGCTGTGCTGGAGTGGCACGCTCTTCTCCCTCTGTCTCTGTCTCTGTCTCATGAAAGAGATCATTTTTTCATCTACTAGAAATGATGTCCCCTTGTTGGAAATGAGCAGTATAATCAAATACTATGCAAGTACTGAAACTCAGGAGAGCAGAGCTGCCTACAATTGCAGTTAAACAGAGAAAAAAAAACAAAAACAAAACCCTCCGCAACCCTAGGCAAAGCTGCACGTCCCGCCGAGGTGCGGGTGTCCCTGCAGAGGGAGCCTCCTGAGCATCCCACACGCCTCACCCAGCTTCCCTCCCCTCCTCAGGAGACCTCCCTCCACTGCATCAGTATCCCCACAGTGGCTGGACTAGGCGCTACTTTTACTGAACTTACTCCCTCTTTAGTATTATTGTTCTGACTTTGAGTTTTCACTTTTTATTTGAACTGTGAGATAAAGAATAATGACCTTGTAATTAAAAAAATTGGGGGCCAGGCAGGTGACATGGTGACATGGTGGTTAAGGCGGCTGGATCCCACACGGCCTACTGTGTGGTTCACGTCTCAGACCACGCAGCTTGAAAACCACGTGGGGTGCATGTGCGTGTGTGCCCCAGATCCCAAGAGGAGGGAGAAATGGAGGAGGAAGATGGCAGCATGACCATGCTCCATGAGAGCTGCTCTCTCTTTCTCTCTTTTTCTCTTTTTCTCTTTCTCTCTCCCCCTCTGGTGAGCACATGTGCCCTCTAGCAAATTAAAACAAATGAACAGGAAAATGCCTTTGAAACGTCAAGGAGCAAGCTGGAGATTTTTATTTCTTTTGGGAACCCTGAAATTCTGTCTTGCAGGCCCTGTGGAGTAATTGAAGGAAGTGGAAATACAGTCAAGGGCTGCCCCATCTCTCATCCCAGGGAAGGACCCTGGGTGTCTCCTTTGAGATCAGCCAGTAGACATTGCCCTCTGAGTTTCCCCTTCCTCGCTCCCTCACTCCGCAGAGATGAATTATTGAAACCCATCATTAATTTAGTATTTAGTACATTTCCAAGCATCAGCTCTTCATCTGAAGCCCCAGAAGGCATCACAGCATCCCATGTCTCTTCCCTGGATTGCACTCTGCTGTCACCATGTAGATCCAGACAGGCTGGTCTGACCGAGCGCTGTGTCATCTGTCCTTGGCCTCAGCACCCCAGTGGCTATTCTGACCTGGCTAATTACTCCCAATGGATTCTATCTAAGAAGAGGACCACCTGAGATACAGAACCTTGTTTTCTGGGAAGGAGGAGGAGGAGGAGGAGGAAAGAAGAAGAAAGAAGAAAGGAAGAAGAGAAGAAGAAGAGGAAGAAGAAAAGAAGGAAGAGGAGGAGAAGAAGAAGATCCATGCCTGACGCATGGTATGGAACAGGACAGGATATTTTAAATCAGTGCTTGTCTCAGGTATTTGGAGACGTGTCACAGCAGCAAACAGGAAGGGTGGGAGACTGGCCCTCCTCATGCGGGCTGGTTCTGGAGACCCAAGGCCCAGGACACATGCACCACTGGACTGATTCCTTTTCTTTTCTCAACTAAACATAGCATTCAATGTTTTAGGAAACTGTTTTGTTTTTGTTTTTTTTTAACACAAGGCATAGTGACTCTATAACGTGAATGAAATGCTTTCAGTCACAGAGTGAATTCTACTTCAAGAATTTACCAGACTGTGGCAACCAAGCTGAGCAGTATTTACCAAAAATGTTAACTTGGCTCACTCCATGGTGTAGCAGTAATGCACAGCTCAGGAGAACTGGATCCCGCTTGGCAGTCAAAGTTCAAGACTCCAGCCCAGTTAGCCTGAAACATGGCAGGCTAGTGCCCTAGTGCTCAGGCTGTGGCTATGGAGGACAGAAAGAAGGGGGTCACAGTATGACCAGACCCTGTGGAGGGGGCCGGCCTCTCTCTCTCTCTCTCTCTCTCCTCTCTCTCTCTCTCCCCCTCCCTCTCCCTTGCATATGCATGCACTCTATCATAAATAAAGAAAAGAAATTTTTTTAAAGAGTCAAATATTTGGGGATTCCATAGACTTTAGTACATAAAAGTTCAAGCTTTTAAAAGTCTAAAATAGTGGACGCCGGTAAGTAAACATTTCTGTCTACATGTGTTTACGTGAGGTTGACATTTCTTTTGAATAGTGTGCTGTACCTCTTCTTTTGATCTGGCCTTGAAGAAGTCTCTTTCAAACACGCCTCTCTGGGCGAAGATGGTTGGATGCAGTACTGAATATGCGTTGCCCTCCTCACCATAATTAGTTCTGTCACTGATGCGACGGATTCGGGGGGCAGGAATGTCAGAGCGAATGGTCGGAACACCATAGATAGGATAACCTAGGTCATCGATGAGAGAAGAAACAGACATTCTAAAACTGAACGGTATAGGACAGTAGCCACCACCCACCCTGGGCTAACGAGCACCTGAAATGTGATGTTTTCTTAGTATAAAATTTGAAGATTTTAATACCAGAAAAGAACATGACTTACTTATTAATTTTTATATTGACTAACAATTCATTGTTAAAATGATCATATTTTTGGATATAATGTACTATTAAAATTAATTTTACCTGTTCTTTTTCTGTGTGACTTTTTTTAAGGCACTAGAAAAAATTTAAATGCATAGATGACTCCAAATGTATTTCTACTGGACAAATTATTTTAAAAGGAGTAGTAGGTTTCGTTACACTGAATGTATGTCTGTAAAATCCATATGGGGGCCAGCCAGTGACAGGGTGGCTAAAGCAGCTGGATCCTAAATGCCCAACTACGCAGTTTGAGTCCTGAACTGGGCAGCTTGAAAAACACACCAGGAACATGTGCACGTGTGACAAACCCTACAACAGAAATGGAAAAGAAATTGTGCATGGCCATTCCCCATGGGAGCGGGTGTTTCTCAATTTCCCTCTTTTTGTATCTTCCCAGTGAGAACACACACCCACTGGCAAATTTAAAAAAGAAATAAAGAAAAAAAGAAAATCCAGTTGAGAAAAATATGTAAGTCTGGAACCATGTACTTAGTCCAAGGACATGGTTTTGACCACCATAAAATATTCTTTTGAAATAACCAGTACTCAGGGCCAGCAGGTGGTGTAGCGGTTAAGGCTCTGGACTCCCACATGGCTGATCGCAGTTTGAGCCCCAGACCCGGCAGCTTGAAACTCACCCCAGGCATGTGTGTGTGCGTGCCCAAAATCCTGGGAAGAGAATGGAGGAGAAGGGATTGCGATGTGGCCATCTCCCGCCAGGAGGTGATGTCATGATTTCTGTTTCTCTGTGTCTCTCTGTCTCTCCAGCAAGTGCAAGTGCCCTATAACAAAAAAATCTCTCACAAAATAAAAAAAGAAGAATTGATACTCATCATGCTCAATATCGAGACATGGAGGTACTGGGTCGAATTGTGTCTCCCCACAAAATCCATATGTTGAAGTCCTAACCTCTACCTCATAGTGTGAGCATATTTGGAAACAAGGTCATTTCAGATGGAATTAATGAAGTCAAACTGAGGTCCTACTGGAGAACAATGGGCCCTTAAAACATGACTGAAAGTTAGAAACAGGAGAAGACCACATGAAGATAGACAGGGCAAGGCCCAGGAGACAAGCAGTGCCAAATACCACCTCCGAACTCTCAGAAGCTGGGGAAAGGCCTGTGTGGGTTCCTCTTCACACCCCAAAGGAAGAGCCAACCCTGCCGGCACCTTGGTCTTGGACTTCAAGCTCCAGGTCTGAGACAGTAAAACGTCGTTGTTTAAGCCACCAAGTTTGTAGTACTTTGTTACAACAGACTTAGCAGACTAGAACATGGGGAATGAATATCTACGGAAATTTTTTGTGAAAGCTCTTTAAATTTTTGAAGATATATGGAGGTCACAATGTCATGTTTTAAAGTCCCAAGTACTGTGACCAGAAGATGGCGCAATGGTCACATTGCTGGACTCCCACGTGGTTGCCCACATTTCGAGTCCCAGACGTGGAGGCATAAAGCTCACACAGGGCATGTGTGTATGCATGCCCCAAGTCCTGAGAAGAGAATGGAGATGGGATCGCAGCATGGCCATCCCCTCTGGGGGTGATTTCTCGCTTTCTCTGTCTCTCTGGTGAGTGCACGTGCCCTATAGCAAACATCTAAGAAAGAAAAAGTCTCGAATACTTGGCAAAGTCTAAATTACTACAACGTATAATGCTTGAGCTTCTGACCTATGATGGTTTCCATTTCACTAATATCTAAAGCATCGCTTTATGTCAGTAGTCACTAGCAGTAGTTAGGTTCAGCCAGCATGTATGTGAGACTCCCTACCTGCTCAGAATATGGAATTAGATGCAACGCACCAGCTTTGAGAAATTTCAATCTAATGGAGAAAGAGGTTGGAACCATGCAAGGACAACTTGCTCCCATATTTGCTGCCCCTTTTTTAAAACCCAACAAATGAGGTGGCACACTCACAGACAGAAGGAACGGCTCCCACGACTGCACTGATGTCAGCAGATGATGTCTTGTAGGAGTCAGACACTTGATCGCTAGGCCTCAGCAGCGTCCGGGGAGTCCTTTCTGAACTCCCCGGCTCTTTAAAGACAATATCTTCAGGTTTTATCAGGAGAGTCGGCTCAGATTCTTCAACATTAGCTTCAGTAGGGTCTGCACAATCGGGTTTTCTACCTTCAAGGCAAACAAACAGAGAGGAAAAATGTCCAGGATGTCTTTGCTACTTGGGTCTTGCTCCTCTGCAACAAAGTAAGTTTTCTCATTGAGTCCCTTTTGCTAGTGGAAGCTGAGCCACGTTCACCCTCCACTGGCGGCAACCCGGGTCAGTGTCATGGACCCGGAAACGTGAGCATGGTCTGGTGTCTCCTTTTGCCACTTCATTCGTTTCATTCTAGAATAAAGCTTTCAAATCTGAGAGGCCAGACTAAATACAGAGCCCATCCCTTTTTTTCCTCTTCTTTAAAATTTAAGAGTTCATTTTCATATTTAGCTTGAACTACAAGTTCCTGGTTCTAGGCCCTAGAGAAAGATTGGAGAAGATGCTTTCGAAGTTGAAAATGCCATAGATACTTGATTGTATGGAAATTCCACACCTACTTGAATGGAGTTGGGGGACAGAAGAGAATGTATTCTAACACCCAGGGAGGTGATGGGAACTCCTTGGGAGCACGGGTCTTATTATATTATTAATGCCCTATAAATCAGCATTTCAAAGAAACCCTGAGGTAGAATCAACATTGTTAGACTCTGGGCTCTTTTACAGATCTGCTCTGTTGATTTGATTCTGAGATTTAGGAGTAAATTCCTGAGACATCTTTTTTCAAAAATCTGGTTACTCTACAGATGCCACTAGAGGGTGCTGTGGGGTTGTGAGGGAGCCCGAGCTTTGCAAAGACAAGTGGTAGGTAGACCAGTGTCAGGGGAGGGTGGGAACAGGCCACGGAACACCCAGAAAGGACACCCTTCTCCACAGCATGGACCTCCCTTCCCCCATTCAGTCCTGTCAATGGTGGCCATGAAAGCATTTGGGCCCAGAGCTCCAGATGGTCTTGTCCAGACATCTTCCAAGTTTGATAAACAGTTCCTCAGGAAATGGGAAGACACTGTCATAAGAGATCTTACTCCCTTTCCACCAGAAGTCAACCCTAAGATCGAATTTGACATAAGAAAGTTCCTCACAGAACATTCCTGGGACCCTTCTGGACCTACTGGCCGTTAACTTGAAGTTTCTACCCTAAATCTTAGAAGATGAAAATCCTAAGAACTCCACTGAAAATGGCGGATGAAATCAGGGTCCAACAGCCAGAAGAATTTGAAGAACTGCCTCCTTTGAAAATACTGCTTCCCCCACTGTTTAAGGAGTTATGCCAAGAACAAAACTTGTCACACCCTCTTCATTTCTGAAAGTGTTGGGGAAGAGATTTGTTGTGTTATGGTTTTTGTTTATTTTTTTTATGAAAAGCTTCATTGGTTAAGGAGCTGGATCCCACATGGCCATCTACCTTGTTCACGTCCCAAACCTGGTAGCGTGAGAAACAGGCGGGGCACGGGTGTGCGCACGACCACAGACACAGCTAACGGAGGAAGAAGAGTGTGCCGCGAGCATTCCCCAAGAGGGAGGATGCCTTCACAGTCCCTCTCTTTCTCTCTCTCCATCTAACACATTTTTAAAAAGGAGAAAAAAGAAAAAAGGCCATTAGAAGATTTTGCTACTGGGCCAGCTGGTGGCACGGTGTTTGAAGCACTGGTCTCTCACGTGGCCAACTGTGGTTCAAGTCCTGGACTCAGTGACCTGAAAATCAGAACAAATAAATGGAAAAATAAGTAAATAAATGAGGGTGGGGGAGATTCTGCCGCTTTCAGAGTGGATAGAATACAAAGGCTGTCCCAGGCACCCAGGCGAAGGGTTCACATTATCTATAAAGACCAACATTTGCTTCTGGCCCTTTATGCAAGGGTCATGACTCTTTATGCAAGAAAAAAAGTAGTAGTCGTATCATCGATAAGATATTTCAAGACCAGCAGATGGCGTAATGATTACGTCGCTGGACTCCCATGTAGTTGACTGCAGTTCAAGTCTTGGACCCGGCAGCTGAAACTCACACCAGGCATGTGTGTGTGTGTGTATGTGTGTGCGTGTGTGTATGCATGCTCAAAATCCTGAGAGGAGATGGAGAAGGGATTGTGGTGTGGCCATCCCCCCTGGGGGGGGGGTGATTTCTCTCTGTCTGTCTGTCTCTGTCTCTCTAGTGAGTGCACACACCCTATAGCAAAAATCTCTCTTTAAAAAAAATAAAAGAAGAAGAGATGTATTTCAAAAGAGAAGCAAAATGTAAATGACCTTTTTAAGAAGTTAATCCTAATAATCAAGATACACAGCTTAGAGCTAGCAAGGCGACATTTCATACCAACTGAATTACAGAGATGCTTGAAATAACGCTCAGTGGTGACAGGGTGGAAACAAAATCTTCTCACAGCCTAAGCTGATAAAATTGCAAATTGGTATGGTAATTTAGAAAAAGCAAAATGAAAATACAGAGAGTTACTTCTGGGACAGTAACATTGATAAGAAATGAGATATAACTAGAAACAGGAAACTTTTGAGAGATGATCATCAGTATCACATTGCTCAGATTACTTTAAAAATACCCAGGAACAGCCCAAATTGTTAAAAGTGAAGAACTGGTTCAGTAGATCGTAATATATTCGCATGAGGGAACTGAAAATAGGGTTTACAAGAACCATAAGATGATCTCTTCACTCCATAGAAATTTCAAAGCTAAATTTTTTTAAAGAATTATTTTATTTAACTTCATTTATTTATTTATTTTGTTAATTTGACAAGAGAGAGACAGAGTGAGAGAGAGAGGGAACTGGATGAGCAAAATGTGAAAGAGAGAAAGCAAACTGCCAGGTCTGGGACTCGAACCGTGGTCAGCCTTGTGGGAGTCCAGCAGCCTCAACCATTAGGCCACCTGCGAGTCCCTCAAAGCTAAATTTTAAAGAGCAAAAAAAAAAAAAAAATTGAATGTTATTGACTGTTATTTTAGATATGTTTAAAATATATACATACATGTATAAACTTTATAAGGTTAGTCATACAGGAAGGTCATATGTAAACATAAAATATTTTCAAATAATTATTTTATTTAACTTTATTTTATTTATGTATTTAATTTGACCAGAGAGAGAGAGAGAGAAGTGGCTTAACCACCACACCACCTGCCAGCCGGCATATTACTTTAATAAAAATTTAATTTTTGAGAGAGAGAAAGGTACAGCAACCCACCGACAGGATCTTGACGCTACAGTTCAGTAGTGACTCAAGCCACATGGCCGACCCGGGTTTGGACACCAAGGAGACCCGACCCCTACCTGGTACACACACACGCAAGGTTCTGATAGCCGAAGGGACAGGGAAAGGGGACCGTAGAGAGATGAGACCCTGTGGAGGGGGCCCCGCCCTCTTCTCTCTCTGTACGTGTGTGTGCGTGTGTACTTTCCCTCATAGAAAATAACTCTTTTCAGAAAAAGACTGGATCAGTCCGTGGCGTGATGGTTAAGGTAGCTGATGGCACAGGACAGTTCGAGTCCCAGACCTGGCAGCTTGAGGAACACACTGGGCACGTGTGTATACATACCCAGAACCCTGAAAGGAGGGAGAGACGGAGGAGGAGGGATTGTGGCGTGACCAGCCCCCCGGGGACGCTCACTCACTCCCCTCCCACACTCATCTCTCTCTCTGCTGAGCACATGCAAATTCTGGCAAAACTTGTCAAAGAGTAAAGATTATAGTGTTTTTCCTGTTTTGTACAAAACTTTAAAGATAAGATTTTATGTCGAATTCTATTTTATTATTAACTTTTCCTGGAGTAGGAGACTAATTACTCTAGGGCAGTGGCTTTCAGACGTTTTTCTGAAGAACTGCCTTTCGTATTTTAATCTCCCGTGAAAATTTTTGTCTTTGAAGTTTTTGCACTCGCTGGAAAGAGACAAAAAGACACAAGAGAGGGAAGTGAGAAATCACCTCCCAGAGAGAACGGCCACACCACAACCGCTCCTCCTCCATTTACTCCTGGGATTTGGGGCACACAGGCACACGCAGCCAGAGAGAACTTCAGGCCTCCAGGTACAGGACTTGAACCATGATCAGCCATGTGGGAGTCTAGTGCCTTAATCACCACGCCACCTCTGCTGGTTCCCTTATTCGTTTACCTTTAATGTTTTTTTCATAAATAATACATGGTCCCATACTCAAAAGAAATAAAAACTAAACAGTAAGTCTCATTGCCACTCAGACACCCAGTTTGCTCTCCTTAGAAATAATAGATGTTGGGACCAGCAGTTAGCGTAATGGCTATGCCTCTGGACTCCCATGTAGTCGACCACGGTCTGTGTCTCAGACCCGGTGGCTTAAAACATGCTGAACGCGTGTGCATGCGTGCCCAAGATGCCAAGAAGAGAATGGAGGAGAAGGGATTGCAGCATGGCCATCCCCCCTGGGGGGTGATTTCTCGCTTTCTGTCTCTCTGTCTCTCTCTGTCTTTCTGGTGAGCGTGTACGCCCTATGGCAAAAACCTCTCCAAAAAGAACAAAAAAATAATAATAATAGATGCTACTGGAATCTTTCCTATCCTTTAGTAGATACTCTATACCATAAACAAGCAAATTAATAAATATGTGTATATGTGTTTGTCCTTCGTTATATACTATTAAGATTGACAAGAGTTGGGGACCAGCAGATGGTGTGGTGGTTATGGTGCTGGACACTACCACATGGCCAACCATGGTTCGAGTCCCAGATCTGGTAGCTTGCTTTCTCACTTTCCCTCTCTCTCTTTCTGTGCCTCTCCCTGGTCATTAAAATAAATGAATACATAAAATAATTTTTTTAAAAACACTGACGAGTTAAGCTCCTGAAAAAATAAAAATATAAGTCCATGTAAGAAGTCAGCCAAGCCTCAAAATACATACCTTTAATGATGACCCTCTCTTCATACTCTTTAAGCGGCATTTTGTCTTTCCAGTTAAGAAAATTTGCGAATTCCAGGTAGTTAATGAAGCCATCCTTATCCACATCACAATAGTCAAAGAGCTGGTCCAGGAGCTTCTCGTCCAGATGCAAGTTGGCCTGGATACAAGCTTGCCACAGCTCGGCTTTATCGATCACTCCGTCTGCCTTCTGTGGGACGTGAAGCCACAGGGTGAAACCAGCTTTCTCTTTAAGAACAGAATAGACAACTCCTGTATTCTGCTTTAGGGAAAATAAATAGCTCTATTATGTACATTCAAAGCATTTGTCTCAATTTTTATATGAGGAGTCAAATATTGAATGAGATTAATCTTTATTATGTTGACCTGATATACACGCACAATAATTTCCAAGTTGGAGCAGAGTTCGGGTTAGAATCTTTGTTCATTCTATTTTAGTCTTTTTCTTTTTCTTTTTTTTTTTTTATTAAGTGAGATTTTTTGCTGTACAGTGCATACACTCGCCAGAGAGACAGAAAGTGAGAAATCCCCCCTGGGCGGATGGCCACGCCACAGTCCCTTCTCTTCCATTATCCTCCCAGGATCTTGGCCACACACACACACACACCCTGTGTGAGTTTCAAGCCACTGGGTCTGGGACTCAAACTGCAGTTGGCCATGTGGGAGTCCAGCAACGTAACTATTACGACACATGCTGGTCCCAGTCATTTTCTTTAAACCATCCTATTTACACTGTGGTAGAACAGATACAACCATGACACATGCTTGACGTTTCATTTGACCAAAGTTGCACGTTTTTGACAGTTCTTTACAACTGTCCATGCTTACAAAGTTTTTAACGCTTTCTAGGTTTTAACTGGACAATAAATGGTCCTTCACTTCATGACCTGAAAAAAAGAGGAAGTTACAGCCCTACACAGGGAACCGGATTCAAAAAGAGTTGTCTGGTTTGGTAACACTCCTAGAAGTGAAAGGGACATGCTGCCAACACTTGCTCAAGTTACGGACTTGCTGTTCTAGACCCGTCAGCTCACGCCAGTACTAACAGTAGGACCCGTGGAATTAATCCGAGTCATGTGTTTTGCCTTCCAGGCCATTTCTAGTCTGACAGCAGCACGCCATGTGGTACAGAGCTACTCAACAACGAGCTGAAGATTCAAAACTGAATTCTCTTTCAACCTCTTGATTCTCTCGTTGGGTCGACATGGCCCTGAATGATAAGGATAATATTCGCTTGGTTTTAAGGACACTGCTCACGGAGTCCTCATGTAGAGGCCAAAGGAGAAATCATGATGTGGGCCTCTGGAACTTTTTAAAAAAATTCTTGGGACTAGCAGTTGGCATAATGGCTATGTCGCCGGACTCCCATGTAGTCCACCGTGGTTGGAGTCCCGGACCCGGTGGCTTAAACTCACACTGGGTGTGTGTGCGTGCGTGCCCAAGATCCCGAGAGGGGAATGGAGGAGAAGGGATTGTGACATGGCCATCCCCTCAGGGGGCTATTTCTCGCTTTCTGTCTCTCTGTCTCTCTCTCTGGCGAGCGCACGCATCCTATAGCAAAAACCTCTCCAAAAAAAGAAAAAAAAAATTCTCTTATCCCTCTTATACCTGAAATCTCCAGGCAAAAGTTCTAGATGAAAATAGGGGATGACTGGGGAAAAACAAAGGTGATTACAGGCCCTGGGGTGGGACATTGATTTTGTGATGATGGAGGAGTTCTGGGGAGAAGACTTCAGATCTGGGATGTCCCAGAGAGTCAGGAACATGATATTTTGTCTTCAGACCATCCCTAAGACTGCATCTTACAGTGTCCCTAGATGCTCTCTAGAACTCTTAGAAGCATCTTAAGTTTACAGTCAGCTAGTGGCACAGTGAGAAGGCAGTGAAATCCACATAGGAAAGGTCCCGGGTTCATGCCCTGGGTCCTCCCTGACACTAGGCCCATGCCTGTGTAGCCATGGTCTGGAGTAGCTGGGACTGGGGCGGGTGGGGTGGTCATTGTGTTGGGATCTTGCTGTGGGTACCATCTCTCTGCTAGCCTCTGTGTCTCTGAATGAATAAATAAATGAATTTGAGAAAGAAAGAAAGAAAGAGAGAGAGAGAAAGAAAGAAAGAAAGAAAGAAAGAAAGAAAGAAAGAAAGAAAGAAGAGAAAATCCTTAAGTTTAACTGCCATACAGTTCTGATCACAACTTGTATCACTCTCCTTAAACCACTAAGCTTCCCAGTAGAAAAATATTCTGGGAATGGATCACTTCTGGATAAATTCCTGACCCCCCCCCCATACTTGTTACACAGGATCAGTGAATATTCTCTGCCAGCGGCATGAGCAAACAGGTGGTCAGACCGACTACCCTCATGCAGTCCCTCCGAACACTTACCAAACTTAACCGAGAACTCCAAAACCTACCAGCCAAATGTATTTTAGGAGACTTTTCCAGTTTTAAGTTAACAGTGTTTACCTATTGGCAATACATGGATTTCTTAAGTTTGCACAAATTGCTGAGCTCTACACATGCTCAATTAGACAATTCATGAAAAGAGAAAACACAATCGTCCCTGCGTTGCTAAGAACATCCGTTGTAAATCGCATGGTCTACAGCGTCACCCCCCCCGCCTGCCACTCTGAGTTTATAATAACACTTGGCCCTCAAACTACCCCAGTGCTGTGTGGTATAGGTCTCACTGGGTTTGCAGGGAGTGGAGGAAGGAAGCCCCGATTTACAGCAGTTGCGACTTTCTACGCTGTAAATATTCTCATCATGATCTATTTCTAGACCATGGTGATGCCAACCGGCTTGCAAGCTTCCAGAAAAGTTAACAGTAGAATCTCTGAGGCACACGGCTGCTACTCTAAGGGCGATGAACTCCTCCTCTAGATTTTAAATGTGATAAGTGAAAGATCTGCAGAGTATCTGGAAGAATGCTTGATGTCTTGTGAGTGTTTCATAAATAACAGAATCAGGCGAGTCACGATGGCAAACACGATACTCAGCCATGCTGAGGCCTCCTGGGAAGGTCCCAGGTTCACGCCCCGAGGTCTCCCTGCACACACTGGGCATGCACATGCATGACAGTCATCCTTGCTAGCTGAGGCTGAGGGTAGATCACAGATGAAGCCCTCGTTGGGGGCATTTCTCTCTGCCCCTTCTCGTGGAAGAAATAACCTTTTCATTTTTTTAGAGTTAAGTATTTAATTTTATTTATTATTATTATTATTTTTAATTTGAACAGAGAGAGATAAAGAAAGAAAAAGGGAAAGTGAGAAAGCAAGCCGCCCAGTCTGGGACTCGAACTACAATCAGCCATGTGGGAGTCCAACACTCCAACCACCACACCACTTGCTGACCCTGAAATAAACTTTTAAATAAATAAATAATAGAATTATTTTTACAAGCCAAGAAGAGTCACTCAGGAAATCATAGATTATTTTCTCTGTCTTGTTTTTCTAGTAAATTAAACCTGGGTATCCAACGATGTTAGATTCAAATAATCCAAAAGTATTCTATTACTTTACCAAATTACATCTTATTGCCCTCCCAGGAAAAAGGGGGAAAAAAATCCTTAAGGGCACTGAGCACTACATTGAAATAGTAAAAGTTAACTATTTAAAAGGTATATTAGCATTAAATAATTATCAGTAATTTCCTCCCCGCCTAATTTAATCATAAGGAATGTGCCTAGTGGTTTACTCAGATAATCAGCAGCTATTAAGATGATCATCTTTCCTATAATTACATTTAAAATGAAGAAGCTTCAAAAGCAGAGCATTATATACTGTGGTAGGCTCTCTTCCTTATGTCACCGCTAAGTAAATTTCCCCAAAAGTCATCTTTATGAGATATCTAGAGTTGATAAAGTTTAAAGTGTGCCTATTTCAGTTTATATATTTTAATTCTGAAAGATCATTTTGAAATTTTACATAAACAAGTAAGACACATATCTTTATTTAATTTATTTTTAAAGTTATAGAATACTTTTGGATTATTTGAATCTTACATTGTTGGATACCCAGGTTTAATTTTTTTTTCCTTCCTTCCTTCCTTCCTTCCTTCCTTCCTTCCTTCCTTCCTTCCTTCCTTCTTTCCTTCTTTCCTTCTTTCCTTCTTTCCTTCTTTCCTTCTTTCTTTCTTTCTTTCTTTCTTTCTTTCTTTCTTTTTGACCAGAGTAGGACAGAGCAAGAGAGAGAGAGAGAGGGAAAGTGAGAAAGCAAGCCACCAGGTCTGAGACTCAAACTGTGGTCAGCCATGTGCTACCAGGTCTGAGACTCAAACTGTGGTCAGCCATGTGGGAGTCCAATGCCCTTAACCACCATGCCACCTGCTGGCCCTGATACTTACATTTTTCTTAAACACTACTTTGTAGGAAATGTAGTTGAGTACTACATTACAGGGATTTGTATAAATTTATATGAGATATCTCACCAACTTTTCATTCATTCATGCACAAATAAATAGGCTACTCACCTAAAAATAAGTAAAATATCTGGATTTAAAATGAACTAGCCAGGACCAACAGCATAATGGCTATGTTGCTGAACTCCCACGTAGTCGACCACAGTTTGAGTCCCGGACCTGGTGGCTTAAACTCACACCGGGTGCATGCGCGTGCGTGCCCAAGATCCCGAGAGGAGAATGGAGGAGAGGGGATTGCGGCATGGCCATCCCCCCCAGGGGGTGATTTCTCACTTCCTGTCTCTCTTTCTGGCGAGCACACATGCCCTATAGCAAAAACCTCTCATAAATAAATAAATAAATAAATAAATAAATTTAATTAGCCAATGTGTGATAAAATGTTGGTCAAATAAATGTGAACTGTAACTTTGCCAAAATTGTACTTAACACGGGAAAGGAGATCAGAATAGTTCTCTTTTCTGTCTGAGGTAAGAGAACTAAAATGAGGTAAGAGAACTAAAATTATTCTGCTCTTTTTTTCCCCTTTCATAACAAGACTGCAAAATCCATTGCATCATCAGAGGTTTATTTGGGAACCTGTGCTTGCTAATATTAGGCTCATTCCTAAAATTGTTTGAGATGGCCTTAAAAACTAAGTGCAATTAAGACAAAAAAAATGAAGAAATCAGGACAATGAGAAAATAATAATGAAAAAAAGGTAAGATGAAACATGGAATTAAAAGGCATACAACAAGTATGCCATAAAATCACGTTCACAAACTAAATGTGTTTTCTTGAACTGGCTCTGAGTTTCCTGGCAGCCAAGGCAAAAAGGAATGCACAACCAATACAAAATGTGTGTGTTCACGAGAGAAAAACAAACCAGGTATTTATTAAAAGATGAAACAGTTATTTCCTTCAGTAAAACTGGATTTCCTACAAAGAAGATGCATGCCCTCATGGGCATACTAACAACAGTAACAAAAGCTGTGCTTTAAGAATTCTAATGATGTGGAACTACTGCAGTTAGGAGTCCCTGTCTATTTTTGCCTTGAAGACACTCATCCGGAATTCAATTAGGCACCTGTAGTGCTCTTAGCATAAGCTAAAGGCAGTGCAATTTGGTAAAAGAAACTCACTCTGTAAAGGACTAAAATGATCTGTGGTAATTATGTAGCCCGAGGCTTTATCAAAAGATAAATTTAGAGTAGCTTAAAAATTGAACTATCAGGGCCAGTCAGTGGCATGGTGGTTAGGGACACTGGACCTCCACGTGGCCGACCCCAGTTCAAGTCCTGAACCCGGCGGCTTGCTTTCTCATTTTCCCTCTCTCTCTTTCTCTCTGTCCCTCTCTGGTCAAATTGAAATAAATAAATAAATAAACTTACATAAAGTAATTCTTAGAAAACAAAATTCAATTATCTTGCACTCCTGACACAGAACCACACCCTGCTCCCTGGAGGAGAGACGTTCTAAGCTTGACGTGGACTGACGGCTTTCATACGCACATAGTAGGTCCAGACTGCGGCGTCTTCCCCGGGATCCAGTGCTGGCCTCCCCCTGGCCCCCAGCACACTGCGGTTTAATGACCCACTAAGCCCTTCTCCGCTTGAACGGGCAGCAGTCACCGGGCTGCTTGGTCAGCTTGCTGGGCTCCATCCCGGAGCTCCCAACTCGGCAGGTGTGGCTGGGCCTTAGAACCTGCATTTCTAACACGTTCCCAGGTGCTGCTGGTGGGAGAACTGCCCTCTGCTACTCACGCGTCTGCTCACAGGTCAGCAAAGTTTTCTCTGCTAAGGGCCAAACAAAGATGTTTTCGGTTCTGCAGACCTCGCAGTCTCTGCTGCTGCTGCTCAGCCCTGCATTGGTAGTGCAAAAGCAGCCACAAACAATATTTAAAACAGCATGGGTGGGGCCAGCAGGCGGCATAGTGGTTAGGGTGCTGGACTCCCACATGGCCAATGGCAGTTTGAGTCCCGGACCCAACGGCGTGAAATGATGCTGGGTGAGCATATGCCCAAAGTCCCGAGAGGAGCCTGGAAGAGAAAGGACTGTGGCATGGCCATCCCTCTAGGAGTTGATTTCTCACTTTCCCTGTCTCTGTCTCTCTCTGGTGAACCCAAAACCTTATGGCAAAACCCATTTTAAAAAAAAAAAGGGGGGACCAGCAGATGGCATAATGGATAACAATTATGTCACTGGACTCCCACATGGCTGACAATGGTTTGAGTCCCAGACATGACAGCTTGAAAATCCCAAGAGGAGAATGGAGGAGAAGGGATTACAGCATGGCCATTCCCCAGGGGAGGGGAGACTTCGGTCTCTCTGGTGAGCATAGGCATCCTATAGCAAAAATCTCTCTTTGAAAAGAAAAGTGAAACAGCACTGGTACGATTACCTAACAGTTAAACTTTACTTTCAAAAGCAAGTGGTGGGATGGATTTGGCCCCGAGGCCCTGGTTCGCTGGCTCCTGATCTGTACCAGCCTGCCGGGACTGTCAGCCCACGCACACCCCAGAAAGCTCTGCTCTACGACTGGCCTTGTCATAGTGCCTGAAGGCTGCCAGCAGCGTGTCGAAGTTCTGGTAGTTAAATTTCTTCAAATGATGTCGAACGGCTGCAACCAGGGCTCTCTGTCTGTCCTTGCCTCGAAGATATTCAGTCGGAAGTCTATTGTGGATGAGATCACCAACTCCTATTGAAGAGGGAAACAAAGTCTTTCATGTGAATTAAAAGTCTCTCAATATTATTTCTGTTTTTTAAAGAAAAGAGAATTCTAGCAACCTCCGTGCATAAATAAAATTCACATCTAACTTTGACACTATTATGAACCATGTCAGAAAAATCCCTCTGTAAAAAAACAAAGTGGACCAGCAGATGGCATAATGGTTACATGTTGGACTCCCATGTCATCGACCACAGTTTAAATCCCAGACCCAGCGGTTTAAAACTTACACCATGCACGTGTGCATGCCCAAAATCCCAAGAGGAGAGCAGAGGAAAAGGGATTGTGGCATGGCTATCCCCCCTGCAGGGGGGTGATTTCTCACTTTCTGACTCTGTGTCTGTCTCTCCCGATGAGCGTATGTACCCTATAGCAAAAATCTCTCCAAGAAATCAATAAGAACAATTATTTCAGTTTTATCTCTTCTCTGCTCAAGGAAAAAAAAAAAAAGAAAGAAAAGAAAGAACTTTGTGGAGATGCCAACAGCCCTCCTCAGCTGTCAGTCCTTCCCTAAGACAGTGAAGCCCGTACCTGACCACCTCTTGCGTGACATTCACACACGATGCTGAGCGTCTCACAGCCAGGGCTGATGACATGTGGGCCCTCAGTGTTGACTGAACCACTCGAAAAATTAAACCGAGATTGTCCACTCTCCCCTAAAGTGTGTCTGTACCTGGCCTTCGGTCATCATGCCCAGATCCTGTTTCTCAGCCCTGAGATTGTCCACTCTCTCCTAAAGTGTGTCTGTACCTTCGGTCATCATGCCCAGATCCTGTTTCTCAGCCCTGCTCTCCCTATCCCACCACTGACATCAGAGGCCTGCCTCCCAGGGACCAGCAGATGGAGTAATGGTTATGTCACTAGACTCCCATGTAGTCAACTGCAGTCCAAGTCCTGGACCCAGCGGCTTAAAACTCAAGACAGGGGACCAACAGGTGGCATGGTGGTTTAGGTGCTGGACACTCCCACGTGGCTGACCACGGTTCAAGTCCTGGACCTGGTGGCTCACTTTCTCACTTTCTTTCTCTCTCTGTCTCTCTCTGGTCAAATCGAAATAAGTGAATAAATAAAATAAAATAATTTCTAAAAACAGAGGCCTGCCTCCCCACAGCTCCACTGACAATCCTGTCCCAGCCCCATCCCCACTAGAGTGGATCGTGCTGTTCAGATAATGGTGGGTTGGTGGGTGTCACCGGCAGATGCCTTCTGTCTCTGTTCATTTCCCCCAGCCTACACTCTTCCTCCATTCCGGCCAGGACTCCCCACTTTCTCGGAGCAAGGTCATGCTCCATGCAGCCCTGGGTGGGTTGAATTGCAACAGTGGCTGCAGTCTGACACGCCCAGTACAGGAACTCTCCCAAACATGTCTGAGAAATGTGTATTCCAAAAACACCAGGCCAGCAGATGGCGCGGAGGTTAAGGCAGCTGACCGCACGGTTCAAGTCTCAGACCTGGTGGCTGCAAAAACATGCCAGGCGTGTGTGCGTGCGCACCCAAAATCCCAAGGAAAGAAGTGTGGCCATCCTTCCTTGGGGAGCGATTTCACCCTTTCTTTTTCTCCCTCTTTTTGGCAAGCACACACACTCTATAGCAAACTATAAATTAAAAAAAAAAAAATTTAAGCACGATTTCATGAAATTCTGGTGCATTTTTGCACCAAAATAAACTTGTACTTTGATTTCACTTTCTCACAAACTTTTCCGAAATTTCCCTGTTTATACTCTCTCTGGGGAAGGCTCCATATTGGGCTCTGTCCTGGGCTTCTTTGAATAAGTCCTCGCAACATCTCCCCGTGATAAAATCAGGAGATACTCATGCGTGTGCTGACCAGTGTCTGGTTTCTAAGGATGGACCCTGAAGAGAAGTGATTGGAAAAAAGGAAGTGATAACCTTTCAATGATGCTGGCTCCAGACCAAAACGAGTGCCTCACACCAAGACCAACTAACACGAGGTCAGCTACTCTCAGAACAGCCTAAAGAGGGCAAGATGCAAACAAAGATCTGGGAGTAAAACCCAAGACCGCAAGGGGTGATTCTGACAAACGTGGCCTGTTTTTCTCTCCCAGGTCCCTTGCTCAGATATATAAATATGTAAGGAAGGTCTTTCTCCTTTTTTTTAAAATTTTTTTCATTTTCTTTTATACATTCAATCACATTATTTAGCTTACAAAGTGAATATTCCAACATGTGAACATTTCTCCCTAGTCCAGTTGACAAAACTATAAATTTATCTTCAACAGATAATACCCCATTTCTTTGTCCATTAATGCTTTGCCTCTCTCTTCTTCTTCTAAATGTCCTTCCTCAGACAGGAGAGGGTTCTTGGCTGAGTTCTTCTCACCTTCAGAAGCCCTCCTTCTCCATCAACATCCAAAGATACAAATGTTTTGGGTTTTGTAGGGTATTTTTGTAATTTTGCTGTAGGGCACACACACTCTCGGAGGGAGAAGAAAGAGAGGGAAACAGACTGACCCTAGGGGGACGACCACAGTGCAGTTTCTTCTCTCCGTATCTGGGCACGCATGCAAGCCGCGAGGACTTCGCCCACACAGTCAGTCAGGTGGGATCGGCTGCCTTAATCACATCACCAACTGGCCCTCAGAGGTACTATTTGAATGGTTGTTTTACAACTCTATATGGTTTTCCATCCCAATCCCATTAAGTTTAACTGCTCAGAGGATGAGACCTATTGCCAGTCCCTCTGGCCTAGCTCTAAAAAAAAAATGTATGAAGCTGATATCAATTGATTTGCAACAACCTAAGACTCATTTCTTTCTTTCTTTTCTTTCTTTCTTTCTTTCTTTCTTTCTTTTTTTTTTTTTTTAAGAGAGATTTCTGCATATTTACCGTACTCCTCAGGACGGAGACAAGGTCCAAATGTGTGATCAGGGGGAACAGTCATTGTTTCTGCAATGCTGTCAAAGAAAGCAAATCGCGTAGTTCAGATACCCACCAAGGGACATCCCTCGAGCTTAAGCTGTGTTTGCCATACGTTCTTAGTAGCTTATATTTTCTCTTATAGCCAAACCATAAAGACCAAACAAAAGTTCTCCAACAGCTCTTTTGTCTGATTGTCTACTTGCATTACCAATGGCTGAATGCTTTCGCTGCCTTGCAGTATCCCAGATACAAAAAAAAAATGGAACAGAGTGTGAGTAGAGAGTGAGACAGGTGGAGGCAGGGAAGACACAGTAAGCTGCATTTCTGCTGTCTCAGCAATAAAGCTCTATGCAAAATCCTCCCTCTTCTCCAGTGTCTTCTCCATCCAGGAGGCCTCAGCACTATCCTGGAACTCCAATTTCTACAAAGTTCCACTGATGAGCAACAAATGATTTCTCTCTTTAACAGGTAGATGCTAATAGATCATTCTTGCTTTAATAGGTAGATTCTAATAGATTGCACACTGACATTTACCACATGAGTATTTTTTACCTTTATGCAAAGACATTATCAATGGGAAGTTAATCATTAACTTACGGATCTAGAACTCTTCCAAGTTTATGTTGAAACTTTTCTTTGAAATCATCAACTCTCTTGGATACAATCTTCGCTCCTCTTTTCCTGCAAAATGGGAAAATTAATAGGTATCTCTATAACCTAAAATATTCTTGGCTGGCAAATAAACACATGGTGAGGAATACTGCAGTATCATTAGGATTCTAGTGTCAAAAGAAATTCTACGCTAAAAAGAAAGCTTTCTTAGGCCAGCTCTGAGGCCTGGTGGTTAAGGCAGCCTGAACCCACATGGCAGACCACACAGTTAGTCTCGGACCCCAGAGTTTGAGAAACACACCAGGTGTGTGTGCATGCATGCCCAAAATCCCAAGAAGAAGGAAAAATGTGACCATTCTTCCATGGAGGGATGTTTTCTCCTCTTCTCTCTCTCTTTTTCTTTCTGGAGAGGGCATGTGTCCTCCCGCAGGAAAAGAAGAAAAATTTGTGTTTAATTTTCTTTTAATTACCAAAGGATATGCATGCTCACCAGAAGACAGGGAGTGAGAAAGCACCCCTCATGGGGCAGGGTCACACTGCAATTCCTTCTCTGCCAGTTCTCTACACCATCAAGATTTGGGGCACATGCACACTTGCACCTGGCATGTTTTTCAAGCCACCAGGGTTGGGACCGTACACTGTCAAGCATGTGTGATCCAGCTCCCTTAACTACGAGGCTATGCGGCCAGCTCTATGTGCTAACTTAAATGATAATATAGCTAAGTATATAAAAATCAAAACAAAGGGTTAATACCACCAATGCTAAAGTGGATAAAGGAGGCCCAGCCGCAGTGGAACAGGCAGTAGGACAGCTGTTGTGGGAGCTGGAGTCCCATGGAAAGGCGCAGGGTTCAGATCCTGGGCTGACTTGAGCAGACTGGGCACACCGCATGATCCAGTTTGGGGGAGCATCGAGGTATGACGAGTTCCTCTCAGAGTTCCTGTCTCTCTCTCCTCTCTCTCTCCCTCTCTCTTTCTCTCTCTCTTTCAACAAATAAACTTCTTAAATGAAATTTTTTTAAAAAAGCAAATAAAATTGCTAAAAGAAAATTAAGCACCAGATAAATAACCAAATCTTGTAAGCTTATCAGGCAGAGAAATTATAACACTCTCTAATAATAAAATGAATGTAAAATAAATAACAAAGTACTGCCCTTTTTTTTTTTTTAAAGTTTATTTCTTCCATGAGAGAGAGCGAGAGACACCCCCAACAGAGTCTTTCCACCATGATCTACCACCAGCCTTAACTGGCCCAGATAAGGCGCACATAAGTACAGGCCTGGCAGCTCAGGGAGCCCCCAGGAAATGAACTCAGGACCTCCCCACATAGGTCCAGTTGCACTAGCATTGTGCCATGACCTGGCCTTTAAAGTGCCACTTTGAACCTAGAAAACAAGCAAATACATGTATATGCATAGGGAGGGACATAGCTAAAGTTGGCAGAAAGTACGTAAAATACTTGTAGCTTGCTGGTGCAAATTCCTACAATTCTTTTGGAAATAATTGGACAATATGAATCAAAAAGCAACAGAGTGCTCATGCCCTTTTATCTACTGTCTGGAAACTTGATAATAAAGAAAAATCCACTTAACAGTGAAAACTATGAAAAACGTGCATGTATAAAAATGTTTGTAACCTCATGCCTATAATAGAAAAAAGAAAAGAACCAAAACGTGCAATTGCGAATGGTGATTAAGTTATGTCACATTAACAAGAACGTACCCTGCCTGCGTTTAAATGTTGATTGTGGACCAGCAGGTGGCGTGGTGGTTAAGGGGCTGGACACTCCCACATGGCTGACCACGGCTTGAGTCCTAGACCTGGTGGCTTGCTTTGTCACTTTTCCCCTTTCTCTCTCTCTGTGTCTTTCTCTGGTCAAATTAAAATAAATTAATAAATTAATAAAATTAAATAATTCTTTAAAAAATGTTGATGGTGAAGAATCCACAGCAATATATAATTACTTTATGTGAAGTGGAAGAGCAGGATGTAAAATGGGTTTGCACTCTAGTGAAAATTATACAAAAATCTACAAAGGAAGCCACACCAGAAATACATTAAAATGAGAATGATTGAATTAAGGTGACAGAATTGTGGGTGATTGTATTTTGCCAATGTTCTGTAATATAATTCTGTTACTTCTACCACTGTGATTAAACGAATAAAATTTCTTTTGAAAACTATAAATTGCAACACTAGTATTTAATGACATTAAAAGTAATAAATCCTCCATTGTTTTGCAAAGACTAAAAACAATGAACATTAAATTCTTAAACTCCATTTTAAAAAGTATTTCCTGTATTTTTGCAACACTGAGCTGCATAAATTTCTGGAGAAAAGTGGCATGCTGTGGAGAAACAAAAGAAATATAAAGTAATTCATCTCCTATGTCTTCATTTCCTTCCCATTTGCTAGTGAGGGGGGGAAGGAACATGGGTAAAGTTAGAATAAACCAATGGCAGTTTAAGGGCCAAACCTTGAACAGAGTTGACTCTAAAAATCAGCTCCAGGGAGCGCAATTAAGAGCATCCATTCTTATAATAAATGTAAGAATTGTAAGGCACAAAGTGGACTCTTCTGAGCTTAAAAGTGCCTGATTTATGCTCCCAAGAGAACCTAGAAATACCCATAGTGGAAATGAATATTGGAATAGCATTAACTATAACTTTACACCCTTTCTTTTTCTTTTTCTTTTTTTTTTTTTTTTTTTTTGTGCTCACCAGAGAGACAGAGAGCAAGACAGTGAGAAATCACCCCACCCCACCCCCGGGGATGCCTACGCCACAGTCCCTTCTCCTCCTCCTCTCAGGATCTTGGGCACGCATGCACATGCGCCTGGCATGAGTTTCAAGGCTCTGGGTCCGAGGCTCGAACCACAGTCAGCACACAGGAATCCAACGACATAGCCATTACACTATCTGCTGGTCCTGGAAATGAATAAGCTTTTTAAAACTACATGTCTCTGTTAGTGTGTGTCCCACCATCCTTATTCTGAACAATTTCAGGAGCAGAACTCATATGATGAAGGAGAGGAAGAGGAAGGGATACCATATTTCAGCCTATAAACAAGTAATCACAGAATGAAAAGCCTAAGAACCTGGGGTGGTGGTAAAGGGCAGCCCCTGGACCCACCGTGCCTGGGATTCCTCCCAGTCCCCAGGTACTTCCGTGCTGCATGATCTTAGGCAAATAAGTTAACACTTCTCTCCCTCACATGCATCACCTGGAAAACGGGAAGCATAAAAATTGTACGTGTAACCCATGGAGTTCTTGGTAGTATTATTTTAAAACACGTGGCATGCTTAGAACTTTGCCTCTACAACTGAAAGTCATTGTTAAGGGGACAAAATAGGCAAAAGAGTGAGGCAGGGTAGACACCTTCGGGAATGCAAACTGTACATAGTGGGACCTGTGAGAACCTAGAGGGCCGGCGCGTCTCCTAAGGAGGACAGAGACGGCCAAATATGCCTGCCCCTCTGGGCTCAGGGATGCGGGCCCAGTGCACTAGTTTCCGGTGGTGGCCATCACAATGACCATATGCGAGTGGTTTAAAACAACAGAAGTATATTCTTTCACAGCTCCAGAGGCCAAAAGTCTGAAACCAAGGTGTCTGTAAAACCACATTTCCTCCAGAGCTCGAGAGGAGAATCCATTTCCTGCCTTCTCCAGTGAAGAGTGGCTGTTGGCGCCGCATCGGTCTAACCGCTGTCTCCATCTTCACATCCGTCTCCTCGTCTCACACCTCTTCCAGAACCCTTATCATTAGATTTAGATCATCTTGAATAACCTTTTCATCTCAAAATGCTTAAATTACATTTACAAATTCTTTTTTGCATCAGATAAAATTCATAGGTGTAGGAATTAGGACGTTAACATTAATTTTGGGGAAAAGGGCACACGTTTTTACAATCCTCTGATTCTTTAAGCATAATGTAATAGAAAATCTAGACTTCTATAAGCAGTTTCCCAATGTTTTAAGTGTTGGGCCAGATAAATAGTATAATACAAGAAATGAAAACAAAGGACCCATTTACATTTTCTAGGGAAGTAGTCGTATAGAACGAGAACACAAAAAGCTCACATTTGGGACCAGCAGACGGCATACTGACTACGTCGCTGGACTCCCACGTAGTCGACCACAGTTCAAGCTATGCCCCTAGAGGCTTAAAACACACCAGACACGTGTGCATGTGTACCAAAAATCCCAAGAGGAAAATGGAGGTAAAGGGACTGCAGTGTGGCCATCCCCTTTGGGGGTTGATTTCTAACTTTCTATCTCTCTGGCAAGCACACATGCCCTATAGCAAAAATCTCTCTTAAAAATTTTTTTAAATGTTAAGTCGATGCTCAAGAACCTAAATGACTTAAATGAAGGTGAATAATAAATGTGAGTCAGTGATATGTGTCGTAGTTGCACTGGTCGAGATTTGAAAGTCCATTATCTCTAAGGAACGTAAACATGGACACCTCTAGGGGAAGTGAACAAATGTCAGAAGTGGAAGGTGTTGTTCCTCTATTAATTTTATGTTTGAATCATGTCAATGTATTATCTCTTCAAGAAATAAATTTTGGGCTAGCAGGTGGCATGGTGGCTAAGGTGCTGGACTCCCATGTGACCCATTACAGTTCAAGTTCTGGACCTGGTGGCTTGCTTTCTCATTTTTCTCTGTGTGTCTCTCTCATGAGTGTACATGCCCTATAGTAAATTAAATAATAATAAAACTAAATAAATCTTTTTTTTTTAAAGTAAATTTTTAAAATGAGATTTTCTGGCCAAATAAGTGGCACAGTGATTAAGGCAGCTGGATCCCACGTGGCCAACTGCGCAGTCCAAGTTCTGGACTCGGTGGCTTGAAAAATACACCAGGTGCATGTGCACGCATGTCCAAAATCTTGAGAGGAGAATGGAGCAGGAGGCACTGCAACATGTTCATTCCTTCTTGGGGGTGCCTCCTCATGTTCTCCCCTACTCCCATCTCTTTACAGTAAGCACACATGCCCTGTGGAAAATTTTGAAAAAAAAAGGTTTTCATTTAGTCCAAATGTCAAATACCTAATACTTGTTCCTGGGCACAGTATATTAAACTCACATTTGTAGTTCATGGAGCCAATATAATGTTTTTGCCATGGTTCGACCATCATTAAAATGTGGTGTTGGGACTCCATATAAGTTAAACCTGTGGAAACTTGCTGGGTTATATTTTCGGTTCTTTGCTTCTCCTGTAAGGAGGAAAGACTATTGATGTAAGCAACATAAATAACCTTATCTTACAAGAAGTACAGTAAGTTCTCACTGACACTGAAAATAAAAATGGGACAAAGAATGAAATTGCAACAGTGCGGGGAATTGCAAAGATTGGACTGCAGATGACAGAAGCATTCCTCATGTGAGCTGGGAGAGTGGTGAGATGCTACACACAAGAGTTCCTGAGTTAGTATTTAGAAAACTATATAGAAATCCGCAACAACACTACCAAAAAACTGTTAGAACAAACGAATTTGGTAAAATTGCAAAATACAAAATCAACATTAAAAAATCCATGAAACTTCTACATGCAAATAACAATCCCTTCTCCTCCATTCTCCTCTTGGGACGAACTCCCACACACCTGGTGTGAGTTTAAGCCACAAAGTCCAGGACTCAAACTACAGTCAACTATGTGAGAGCCCAGTGACCTACCACTATGATATCTGCTGGTCCCTGATACATGCATTTCTATATCTTATATACAAAATACCTAAGTGTACATGTTTTCAGCTCTTAGGGTTTATGAGCTTCTGAATAAGTTATCTGTTCATCACCAACTATAAGCTAGGCATTTAACTTTATGCTTAGTGTCTCCTTTATTTATTTATTTATTTTTTTTTTCACAAATCTGAGGGTCCCATATCCTCAGGCCCACTTTGCATTGGAGGACACCTACCTGCATAATAATCATTGTGAGAAACAACATACAAATCATGTCCTTCATTTCCTTCTTTAAATACTTCTTCAAAGGATTTTGGTGGGTTCACCACATCTCTAGCAGAGATATCTAAAGGAAGAATGAATAAAGTTAGTCTTAGGGTATTTTTCTTCTATTTATAATGTATTTAAATTTACTAGAACAAATAACAAGTGAAGTGTACTGGTTGCATTAGACACGTGGATATCCCAGGAGATCACAAAACTGACATAACTGAAGATTTATCATGTCTGTACTGTATAGCAGAAACTGAAAGTTGGCAAGGTACAGTAGCAGGGAAGGCAACTGTAGATACTAGAGTCCAGGGACTCTAGACTAGGGATGGGGTAATACAGGCAATAGAGGGAGAGAGGGTGGGAAATGGGGGGAAAATACATCAGATTGACCTAAAAATGAAAAGTTATTTGCTGATGATAATGTATATGGTGATGTCTTTGTCTTGACTGATATGCTGTATTTGTGCTAGAAAAAGCAGTATTATACACTGTAAAGATATATAGTGATTAAATGTAAATTTAAAAATATAATAATAAAAAAAAAAAGAACAGAAAGATTTATCAAGAAAGACAAGGCACATTCTAGGAGCCATTGTGCTAGGAAATTTTACTTGACCAGGATACCTTCCTAGACTTCGGAAGAATATTGGAATTCTGAATCATTTAACTGTTCAGGTTGTCCTGAGCCACTTCCAAGTCCAGTTAAATGCTCAGTCCTGAGAATCTCTGGACAATTTGAGTTTTGTTTGCTCCAGACTTCTCAAGATGATCTAAACAAGTATGAATCACAAATTAGAAACTGTGGTGCCCTGGGGTGGGGTGGGGTGGGGGGCAACCATGCATCCACCCTAAGTCTGACCGGCCATGTGTACACCCTGAGTCTGCTTTCACCCAAATCTCCACTCACAGTGCAGCCAGAGGTATTGGGAATATCGATGGAAGCAGGAAGAAATTATTCTTTCTGGTCTCAAACCTAAGTAAGAGGTTTGCTTTAACAGTTGCTTCCCTATGACTGTGCAAAACTGCTTCCCAGTTTTGTATATAGTATATTATTTTGTTTCATTGTTTTACATAATCATTTTAAAATATAACTCCCTTTATCATTTTGCTTCTTGGTTTCAACCAACAACATAGAGATTAAGATATTTCCTTTCTTCTGGCTTTTTTTGGCCAAAACCTGAGGTCAGTAAAGTAATAGTTAAGAATTTCAGAATGTGATTCCACAGCCCTTTCGGCTGTCCCAAAGCCAGCTTCTCGGGTCTCTTCCTGCACTCACTCCAAGTCTATTGTTCACCAGACCTGCATCCAAACCGGAATTGTTCCTGCAGGGCACACACAGATGCTAAAGATTTTGGCGTGGAGAGCACCTCTCTTACGGCAGTCCCATCTTTCACTCCTTAGTCGTTACATAGCCATCACCAAACATCCTAACAATGTAATATTTAAACCAATTTTTAAAGAAGACCTATTTTTGCTACTCTCCCAGCCCTTAATTTTACTACCTCTGATGATTGTTGTTCCAAATGTCGTATTGACGACATCCATTCCTTTGGGTAATCCTGGAGTTTGATCATGGGATCTTCCTAACGGTGCCCAGCGATTGCTAAAATACACAGATTCCTTTTTTTCTTTAATTTTCTGTTGAAAGGTGGTAATGGGCTGTGGGTTTATCAATGTGCTTGCCTAAAGAAATCATACAAGGCACAGGTGTGTCAACAACAACAAGAATGTATAAACCTGAAAACTGAAGCTCTGATAAGCATCAAGGGGGAGGAGAACAGGTGCATTGTGGGAGAACGTTTCCTCATCGTCAGGGTCTGCTCATCCTCACGTGGATTTTCAGAATTGGAACCATGAAATGTAAGTATGTCTATCAAGAACTTTTGGAGGTATTAAAAGGTTTCTGGGAGGGGCTGACAAGTAGTGTGGTGGTTAAAGGTGCTGGACTACCACATGGATGACCGTGGTTCGGGTCCCAGACCTGGCGGCTTGCTTTCTCAGTTTCCCTCCCTCATTCTCTTGCTCTGTACTTCTCTGGACAAAATTAAAATATATAAGTAAATAAATAAAGTTAAGTTGTATTTATTAAATAAATGAAGTTTAACAGAAGTTATTGTCTTGGAAACTAAGAGTTCATGATGGGAACTCCCAGGTTACTAGACTCAGCTATTCAATAAAAGTGGAAATGGAAAGCCCAATAACTACGTGGCTTCCACACGTCCTCTTCAGACATACAGACCGGGTCTTGAGAATAGAGACTGTCCATTGGATTAAGAGCAGATGACATTCTGAGTCTACCTCTGCTCAGAGTCTGTAAAAGCACTGTATCGTGCCTCCAGGCAAGACTCTGTTCTCTCTGTTCCTTAACAAAACCTGACAGCGTTCCTCTTTACTGTGAGGAGGTGGAATACAACTGGCTTTTGTCATCTAGAGGGAGAATGAATCGTGTGGGGCTTAACCCAGTCATTTCTTTGCTCTTACTTGGCTGCCGTTGCTTGGACATTTTCAGTGCACAAGATGAATGCTCTCCGAGGACAGAATGAGAAAAGACTGGAGCAAATACTGAAGAGAAGATCAGAACTGAACTTCCCTGACACCTGCTTTGTGCATTCTCACCTCAGTAAAGAAATAACATACATGGGGACCAGCAGCTGGCCTAAAGGCTATGTCGCTGGACTCCCATGTAGCTGACCACGGTTCGAGTCCCGAACCCGGTGGCTTAAACTCACGCCGGGCGCGTGTGTGTGCCCAAGATCCCGAGAGAAGACTGGAGGAGAAGGGATTGCGCTGTGGCCATCCTCCCTGGGGGGGTGATTTCTTGGTTTCTGTCTCTCTGTCTCTCTCTGTCTATCTTGCAAGTGCACACGCCCAATAGCAAAAACCTCTCCAAAAAAAAATAATAAATAAAAAGTAGTAACATTGGGACCAGCAGTTAGCATAATGGCTATGTCGCTGGACTCCCACGTAGTCGACCGTGGTTCGCATCTCGGACCTGGTGGCTTAAAACTCACACCGGGCATGTGTGCGTGCGTGTCCAAGATCCCGAGAGGAGAATGGAGGAGAATGAACTGCAGTGTGACCATCCCCCCTGGGAGGTGATTTCTCGCTTTCTGTCTTTATGTCTCTCTCTGTCTGTCTGGCGAGTGCACGTGCCCTATAGCAAAAACCTCTCCAAAAAAAAGTAGTAACATTCAAAGACAAAGGAAAAGACGTTACCGGTATCGAAACTTTGGATCTCATTCCATGTGTCAGGTGCGGTGCGATTGGAACACTGGCTCTGCCATAAAACGCTCTTTCAGCCCCAGCAGGTGGGTATCTATAGTTGAAAAACTTCCTTGTCTCAGGTGTAGTAACCAGCTACAAAGAGGGAGGCAAGAAAACAGAATTACTACATACAAATTTCAGGATATGAATAGAACTGAGCTATACCAATGAACACCTGTTATTGTACAAATGTGGTAAACACATGGGGAACTACAGCCCCAGATAATGAAATCTCCCCTAAAGCTTATTTATGGAGATAAACAACATATTTAGAAAGTTAAACAGGGGGTGGGACCGGCAGGTGGTGTGGTGGTTAAGTGCACTGGACTCCCACATGGCTGACCATGGTTTGAGTCCTGAATCTAGCGGCTTGCTTTCTCACTTCCCCTTTTTCTCTCTCTCTCTTGTTCCATCACTCTCTGGTCAAATTAAAATAAATTAAATAAATAAATGAAGTCAAATAAAGTCATTCTTTTAAAAAAATGGGTAAATTTATAGAAAAAAAAGTTGTACAGGGGGACCTACAGGTGGCATGGTGGTTAAGGGCACTGGGCTCCCATGTGGTCAACTGCGGTTCAAGTCCTAGAGCTGCGACTTACCTTCTCACCCCGTTTCTCTCTCTCGCTCTCTCGCTCTCTCGGTCTCTCTCTCTCGCTCTCTGTCACTCTCTGTCCAAATTAAAATAAATTAAATAAATAAATAAAGTTAAATAAAATCATTCTTAAAAAACGATTGGGTAAATTTATTTTAAAAAAGAAGTTATACAGGTAGGCCAACAGGCTTGCTTTCTCACTTTCCTTCTCTCTCTTTCTCTTGCTCTGTCCCTCTCTCATCAAATTAAAATAAATAAATAAAGTTAAATAAAATCATTCTTAAAAAACGATTGGGTAAATTTATTTTAAAAAAGAAGTTATACAGGTAGGCCAACAGGCTTGCTTTCTCACTTTCCTTCTCTCTCTTTCTCTTGCTCTGTCCCTCTCTCATCAAATTAAAATAAATAAATAAAGTTAAATAAAATAATTATTTTTTAAAAAGTTATAGTGATACAGTATTTAGAAAATAAGAAGTATCCAAGGTAGAAAACATACCATTACTTCCTTGAAATAAATTGAATCCCTTGTAGTTTCTGTAGAGGTAGAAATTTCAAGCACTGAATTTTTACTTTCTTGGACAGAATCAGTAGAAGGCCTCAAAATACGATAAAGAATCCAAACAGACGACATTACATTTACACAACTGTCATAAGGGATGTTGAGGGCAGCCTTTTGTTTTTTTTTTTTTTTTTTTTGCGGGAGGGTCGTGGGTGCAGGAAAGACACTGTCAGTGAAGGTGTGCTGGAGAAGGGGGATAGATGGAATGAGCTGACTTCTGTCTACCTATTAAACTCCTACCCGTCCTTTGGAGCACACCTCTAAGGTCACCTCCCTCGCTCTGCTGCTGCGTCTTATGCATACTCTGTTCTACTATGCTATGCATTTATCACCTGCTTCTTAGACCACAGCCTCGGTGTCAGGGACCAGGAAATGTCCATGTACCCGGGACAGTGTCTGGCACAGACCTGGTGTTTTCTGCACAGTAGGCATTACAAGCAGAAAACAGAAAACACGTATTTCCAGTTATTGGATCTGAACTAGGAAAATTTTTTTACAAGATTTTTGCCATAGGACTCACAAGCCAGCATGAGGCAGTAAGAGACACAGAGAGGGAAAGTGAGAAATCACCCCCTCCAGGGAAAGACAGCCACACTGCAACCCCTCTCCTCCACTCTCCCCCTGTGATTTTGAGCATGTACACGCGCACACTCGGCATGATTTTTAAGCCAGCGAGTCCAAGACGCAAACCATTGTTGGACCGCTGGCCATGCAGGAGTCCAGCGCCTTAACCACCACGCCACTGCTGGTCCCAAACTGAGAAATGTTTACAAAGTGACTGGGCATCTCATGGACTGTGTGGATGCAGGATCAGATGGCAATGCGTTATCTTTGGCACCTGAACGAAGCATGAGAATGTCAGTAACAAAAGTAGGCTGTTGCCCTTCTTTTCCTTCTGCGAGTTATTTTCAGCCTACCTGCAGCTGAGGTGCTCATGGTCAAAGGAGAACTGTCTCTCTTAATGTCCCTCTGCAAGGTAAAAATGGAAACAGAAAGGCATGTCAAAGTGCTTACCCTGGGAAGTTTCTCAGTCAAGCAGGTTGCAACTCTGTGTCCAACTGGAATAACTTTCCCTGCCTAAGGACAAAACATAATAGTGGGTCATTATCCAGATAGAACAGAAATACTTTGAAAAGTGGAATTTATTTCAAAGTTGGCTTATATTTCAAATGCTGCTGTTGACTACTTAACACAAGAAAAATAACAAAGCACAAACAGTAAAACTAACGTTAACTGCAAAAAAATGTATATAGAGATTCGTAAGCACACTTTTTACAACACTAGCATTGTCGGTTATTCATCCAATTCCAGGAGCCCTGTGACATGCTGAGGGATTCGGCTTTCAGAAAAACAATTCTGTCATAGTTCACAGGTTAATTATTCACTGTCCTGTATTACCAGTCAAATGGAAGTGTGGCTGCAATCAAGCTGAATCGAGAGGAATTGTGGAATATGTTTGAATGCGTGTGGGTATGTCTGCATGCAGGTGTACTTCTACCGACACGCTAACTCGCCCGTGTGCAAGCAGTGCTCCTGCCCAGCACCTCCAGGGGGTAGCCCAGATTTCACTTGGATGCTTGGCTTTGCCTACTTGATTCTAACTTGGATCTTACCTGTCTTTCCTTACCCCAAGGCAAAGATGGTAACTGTTCATTGTCAGAAAATGCTTCTCTTAGGGACCAGCAGTTGGCATAGGACTCCCACGAAGTTGATCGGGGTTCGAGTCCCAGACCCAGTGGCTTAAACTCACACCGGGAGCGTGTGCATGTGTGCCCAAGATCCTGAGAGGAGAATGGAGAAGGGACTGCGGTGTGGCTATCCCCCTAGAGGGGTGATTTCTCACTTTTTGTCTCTCTGTCTCTCTCTTTCTGGCAAGCACACACACCCTATAGCAAAAAAAAAAAAAAAAAGAAAAGAAAAAAGAAAAAAAAAGAAAACCTCTCCAAAGAAAATGCTTCTCTTATCTATTCCCGCTTAGTCTATTTCAAAATTTCAAAACAGTTAATAGTTATTTTGGCAGTGTGTAAGTTTCTCTTCTCAAAGCTGAGAGAAACAAAGTCTCCATAAAGAGTATTCTGGGTCTCTGGACAGAAAGAGAGAGCGAAAGGAAATTGGGGTTACTGTCAGGAGAAGCAGTGAGATGCAGGGTTGGATGGAATGAGTGGATGGACAACTGGGTGGATAAACGTAGAAGATGGCGATAGGTCGGTCGGTGAAAGTTGTTTTATTGTGTGAAAGGTTGAGTGCAAAATTCCTTAGGGGGAGAACCACATGGTTTTAATAAAGTATCTTGATGAAATCTCTGAGTATAAAAAAAAGGAAGCCCACAGAGCTGGCAAGGGAGAAAATTCAATTGTTCTGTTTGAAAATGAGAGAATATATAAATTTCTGATAAGATAGATGAAGACAAAAGGATTCAAGATGACAGTAAATTGAGGAGGTGGTTGGAGACTAAACTCTAGCAATCAGAGGCCAGAGGTGGGAAACTGGCCAGTGAGAGGCCGCCTAGCCTCAATGCCAAATCCTGAGTAAGCTGTCCTCACACAGTGATATGAGAACTTCGTATAAAAAAGTAAAGGAGCAGGGCTGGCAGGTGGCGTGGTAGTTAAAGGTGCCAGACTCCCACATAGTCAACCGTGGTTTGAGTCCTGGACCCGGTGGCTTGCATTCTCACTTTCTCTCTCTCTCTCTCTCTCTCTCTCTCTCTCTCTCTCTCTCTGAACAAACTGAAAAAAAAATTTAAATTAAATAATTCTTTTTTAAAAATAACTGGGGCCAGCAGATGGCATAGCAGTTATGTCACTGGAATCCTTCATGGCTGACCATGGTTCGAGTCCTGGACCTGGTGGCCTGAAATATCACACCAGGCAAAAAAAAATTTAAATAAATAAATAAGAAAAAATAAAATCACTGGGCGTATGTGCATTCATACCCAAGATCCAAAGAAGAGAGTGGAGGAGAAGGATTGCAGCGAAGCCACCCCCCTTGGGTTGATTTCTCACTTTCCCTCTCACTGTTTTCCCCTCCTTACTGGCTTCACGAACTCATACCCTAAGGCAAAAACGTCTTTAAAAAAAATAAAGTAAAGGAGCTGTGTTATAATTTGAGCTAAAGCTAGGCAGAGGAAAGGAGGGAAAAATTTGTTTGTTTTGTTCTAGTTCAGCTAAATTGTAAGAAATCTTATTGAGGGGCCGGCAAGTGGCAGGCACCTGCAGTGGTGGTTGGAGGCTCTGGACTCCCAGATGGATGACCACAGTTCAAGTCCTGGACCTGGTGGCATGCTTTCTCACTTTCCCTCTCTCTATCAAATTCACTAATAATAATAATAATAATAATAGTAATAGATAAAGTTTAAAAAAAAAAAAAGAAAAGAAATCTCAGTGATACAAAGGAATATTATTAAGTCTCTTCCATTGATGCAGGAGTCCTGAGTGATCAGACCCGACTCCCATGCTGGTTCTGGTACAATGTTCGTGAAGAATTAGAAATACAGACATATGGAGAGGAGAGTAAGCAACGATGATTAGAAAAGAGGCTTCCAGGGCAATGGAAGGGGTCCCGGATGTGTTGCCAGAGAAAGGCTCTTAGACTGGGATTTATATTTTGTAGTCTGAATAGGAGGCTGGCTTTTTGCTAAGGAACTGTGCTTTGGAAAATGGCCACATTGTAGTCTGAGTGATTTAGTATCCATTCTCACAAGGTCAGCAGACCACAGTAATTTGTACCTCTTGTTAGAATGTAGTAAGTAAATAGAAACTGTTGCCCCTAGCTAGTGTTGCTTTGAGTCCCACTGCAGCCAGCTCTGGGCTGTGAAAACTTGGCCTTTGGGATTCTACCTTGGACCTTGACCCTAACATAGGCCCCAAGCCTATCTCCTACCTTATTACTGTACCTAGGATAAGAACTCAAGCCTGGGCCCAGCAGGTGGCATGGTGACTACAGTTCTGGACTCCCTGATGGCTAATCACGGTTCAAATCCCAGACCTAGTGCCTTGAAAATCATGCTGGGCACATGTGTGTGCATGCCCAAGATCCCAGGAGGAGAATGGAAAAGGGATTGTGGAGGGGCCATTCTCCCTGGGGGTAATTTCTCTCTTCCCCTCTCACTGTCTGTCTGTCTCTGTCTGTCTGTCTGTCTCTCTCTCTAGCGTGAATGTATGCACCCTATGGCAAAAACCTTGAAAAAGAAAAAGAACTCAAGCTATTATTAAATATTCTAAAGTGGATCAGAATATACCACCCCAGGGACCAGCAGTTGGCATAATGGCTATGTCGCTGGACTCCCAAGTAGTCGACCGCGGCTCAAGTCCTGGACCCGGTGGCTTAAACTCACGCTGGGCGTGTGTGCGTGCATGCCCAAGATCCCAGGAGAATGGAGGAGAAGGGATTGCAGCGTGGCCATTTCCCCTGGGGGGTGATTTCTCGCTTTCTGTCTCTGTCTCTCTCTGTCTGTCTGGCGAGTGCACAGGTCCTATAGAAAAAAAAAAAAAAGAAAGAATATACCACCCACATCATTTTAGCCTAAGGAGGAAATCCTGACTATTTTTTCTTGTTTCCAAAATCCTTTCCAGAGGACCTGGGGGAAGTCGCGCCTACAAGTATTAATGTAGTGAACCTTCTCTCCACTAACATAAAACCAGACATTCTTTAGCTGATCTCTCCCTCTTTCCTGATCACCAACCTAAGAATTTCAAACTCTCCTATAACCTACAAGCCTCTGCTTCCAGATGTCCCACTTCTTAAGTCAGGCCAATGTAAAGGACCCATGCTGACTGACGGCTCTCCTGCTCTTAAAACTACACGCCACCATACCTCGGCATCCCGAGAGCCATGCTTGTCTTCCTCCAGGCCTGTCACTTGATGTTGTGCTCAGTAAAAAGCCACATTTTAATAATAATAGAAATGCACATTAGGTAGTAAGTGGAAAAATAAAACAGTTTTGGAAGCCAGGAGGTGGCATAATGGATAAGATGCCAGACTCCCGCATGGTTGACCACTGTTCGAATCCCAGACCCAGTGACTTGAAACGCCAGTCATGTGTATATACATCCCCAAATCCCAAGAGGAGAATGGAAGGGACAGGATTGCAATGTGGCTATCCCCACTGAGGGGTGATTTCTCACTTTCTGTCTCTGTGTCTCTGGCAAGGGCACACACCCTATAACAAAAATCTCTCATAAAAAAGTAAAACAGTTTTGATGATCAAAATTGCAAATGTACGAAAAAATATTTGGAAATGGGTCAGCAGGTGGCATGGTGGCTCAGGTGCTGGACATTCCCACATGGCCAACCACGGTTTGAGTCGGTCCTGGTGGCTTGCTTTCTCACTTTCCTTCTTTCTGTGTGTCTGCCTTTCTCTGGTCAAATTAAATGAATGAATAAATAAAATGAAATAAAAAGTGGTTTAAAAAATACATTTGGAGAAAAGCCTCATAAGAAGTGAAGTGTAATTGTAATCCAAGTAGAAATTCACAACTCTAAGCCCAGCTGTGTGACTAATCAAGTGACCTAATTTGGCTCAGTTTCTTCATCTAGAAAATAGGATAGTAATAGTAGATGCCTCACACGGTTGTTAGGAGAACAGATGAATTAGTACTGATTAGTACTGCGAACCCCCATGAATAGTGATGGTAAGACAGAAAGCTACCAATATATTTTTCTTTCTTTCTTTCTTTCTTTCTTTCTTTCTTTCTTTCTTTCTTTCTTTCTTTCTTTCTCTCTTTCTCTTTCTCTTTCTTTCTTTCTTTCTTTCTCTCTCTCTCTCTCTCTTTCTTTCTTCCTTCCTTCCTTCCTTCCTTCCTTCCTTCCTTCCTTCCTTCCTTTCTTCTTCTTCTTCTTTTTTTTTTTTTTTGGTGTGTATGAACTCACCAGAGAAAGAGACGGAGAAAGTGAGTGAGAGAGGGGAAGTCAGAAGCCACCCCCTTGGGGTGGGGGGTGACATTGCCTCAATCCCCTCTCCTCCCGTTTCCTCTCAGGATATTGAGTATGTATACACACACACACCTGACATGATTTTCAAGCCACTAAATCCATCCAGGACTTGAACTGCTCAGCAGTCATGTGGGATCCAGCACCTT